TGCCATAAGAATGAAGTCTTATTTCAAAAACCTGGAGAAGAAAAATTTCGATTCCTTGGAGCAAGAATTAGGACTCTACCCCGATTGATATCTGCAATGAAAGCAGAAAAGATGTTGAGGAAGAATACGTGTTGAGGATTTTTATTGAATATAAATAGTAAACCCCAGTCCGAAAGGAAAATAGAAGATGTACCTGTAGTAAATGAGTTCGTGGATGTTTTTCCTGAAGATCTACCTGGTATACCGCTTGATAGGCAAGTAGAGTTCACAATTGACTTGACCCCTGGGGCAACACCAATATCTAAGGCTCCTTATAGAATGGCACCAAAATAATTACAGGAGTTGAAGGCACAACTACAAGAATTATTGGATAAGGGTTTCATCCGACCTAGTGTATCCCCATGGGGAGCGCCGATATTGTTTGTTAAAAAGAAAGATGGGTCAATGAGGATGTGTATTGATTATAGAGATATTAATCATTTGACTATAAAGAACAAATATCCACTCCCAAGGATAGATGATCTTTTTGATCAATTGAAGGGTACAACAGTGTTCTCAAAAATAGATTTGAGATCAGGTTATCACCAACTTAAGATAAAGGACTGTGACATCCCAAAAACAGCTTTTAGAATGCGGTACGGGCACCATGAGTTCACAGTGATGCCATTTGGGTTAACCAATGCACCAGCTGTGTTTATAGACTTAATGAATCGTGTTTTTCATCAATACCTAGATCGATTCGTTATAGTCTTCATCGACGATATACTGGTATACTCAAAGGATGAGCAACAACATGAAGAGCAATTGAGAGTGGCATTAAATACGCTTCGAAAAGAGAAGTTGTACGCCAAATTCAAAAAATGTGAATTTTGGCTAGATCGTATTGATTTTCTTGGTCATGTGGTTACTGCGCAAGGAATTGAGGTAGACCCAGCTAAAGTTGAAGCTGTAACAAATTGGTCTAGACCGACCAATGTAGGCGAAGTTCGTAGTTTCTTGGGTCTAGCTGGCTATTACCGGAGATTTATTGAAGGATTTTCTAAGATAGCTGGACCACTAACACAATTAACTAGAAAGGGAGTAAAGTTTCAATGGTCGGATAAGTGTGAAAGTAGTTTTCAAGAATTGAAGCAAAGATTGGTTTCAGCACCAGTATTAACAATACCAGATGGTTCCGAAGGTTTTGTTATATATAGCGATGCTTCTAAACAAGGTTTGGGATGTGTGTTAATGCAACATGGAAAGGTCATTGCCTATGCCTCTAGACAGTTGAAACCATATGACCAGAGTTACCCAACTCATGACTTAGAACTCGCAGCAGTAGTTCACGCACTAAAAATATGGCGTCACTATCTATATGGCGGTAAATGTGAGATATACACCGATCACAAAAGTCTCAAGTACTTCTTTACTCAAAAGGAGCTAAACATGAGACAAATGAGATGGCTAGAGTTGGTTAAAGACTATGACTGCACCATTCTTTACCACCCAGGTAAAGCTAACGTAGTTGCTGATGCTCTGAGTAGAAAGACAGCTGGAAAGTTGACATTTCCAACCACTCAAAAAGAGTTAGCTAAGGAATTTGAAAATTTGAGGCTAGAGGTGGTTACACCTTCGGTACAGAAGTCAGCCATTGTTGTGGCTCTAATGGTTCAACCAACTCTTAGAGAACGGATTAGAGAAGCTCAAAAGGATGACCCATTTTTGTGTAAAATCATGGCTGGAATTGGGACAAATAAGCAAGAGGGATTTGCGATAACTGATGATAAGATACTTATGTATAAAGGCAGAATATGTGTTCCTAAAGATAAGGGATTAAGGAAAGAAATTCTTGAAGAAGCACACTCTACCGCTTATACAGCACATCTAGGAAGTACTAAAATGTATCGAGACCTTCGAAATACGTTAGGTGGAGAAATATGAAAAGAGAAATAGGACTTTTTGTAAGTAAATGTATAATCTGTCAGCAAGTAAAAGCTGAACATCAGAGACCTTCAGGGTTGCTTAGACCACTAGATATACCGGAGTGGAAATGGGAACACATTACCATAGATTTCGTGGTAGGACTTCCGAGATCGGCTAAAGGGAACAACGCTATCTGGGTAATAGTGGATCGTCTTAGAAAGTCAGCCCATTTTCTTCCAGTTAAGATGACATTTACCATGGAGCAATATGCACAGATTTATGTCAATGAAATAGTCAGGTTACACGGGGTTCCTGTTTCTATTATTTCAGATAGAGACTCGAGATTCACGTCAAAATTTTGGAAAAGCCTACAAAATGCTATGGGAACAAAACTGAAATTTAGTACTGCATATCACCCACAGACTGATGGACAATCCGAAAGGACAATTCAGATACTTGAAGATATGTTAAGAGCTTGTGTACTAGATCTTGGTGGTAGCTGGGAATCACACTTGCCTTTAGTAGAATTTGCCTATAACAATAGCTTTCAAATAACTATAGGCATGGCACCTTACGAGGCACTATACGGTAGGAAGTGTAGATCACCTATCTACTAGGATGAGATTGGAGAAAGGAAGATTCTTGGACCTGAGACCATAGATCGAACCATACAGGCCGTGGAAAAGATTCGAGATAGAATTAAGGTTGCTCAAGACAGACAGAAAAGCTATACCGATAGAAGAAGAAAAGATCTCAAGTTCCAAGTTCGTGACAAGGTATTTCTGAAAGTAGCTCCAATGAAGGGAGTACTTAGATTTGGAAAGAAAGGAAAATTAAGACCAAGATTCATTGGACCATTCGATGTGTTAGAAAGAATTGGAGATGTGGCATATAGACTGGCACTGTCACCAGAACTTTCAACAGTGCATAATGTTTTTCACGTATCAATGTTGCGAAAATACTTACAGGATCCTAATCATGTGATCAACCATCAAATTTAGATGTACAACATGATTTGACCTATGAAGAAATGTCATTGAGGATACTAGAAAGAAAGGTTCATGTACTGAGAAATAGGGATATTCCCTTAATCAAGGTCCTATGGCGTAACCATGGAGTGAAAGAAGCAACTTGGGAAAAGGAAGATGAGATGAAAATCAAGTATCCCGAACTTTTCAACTAATCTAAGGTAAATTTCGAGGACGAAATTATTTTAAGGAGGGTAGGTTGTAGAATCCCGAATTTTTAACTTAAATTCGCATATATTTTTATTTGCCATTTAATAGGAATGCAATGTTTGGTTAAGTTCTTATACAAGTTAATTGATTATCTCTATAGTTATCTTATTAGTTGAGGGACCAAATTGAAAAAAAATATATCAAATTATTTTATACTTTATTAAATGGGCCAAATAGTTAACTAATGAAGGAGTTAGAATTACTCTACCAATATTGGGTTCATTTTGAAGCTCATAATAAATGGCGAATTATGGACTCAAGAAAAATTTAATTTGGTCAAGTTAAACCCGAGTTTTAGCCGTCTAAAGAATATTATGGTTATAAGAGTTTAAAGGATTAGATTTTTCGCCAGTTGACTGCCACCACTAGTTTAGCTAAATAAATTAGAATTTTAAGTCTTGGTTAAACAAAATCTTTATGTTAAGTATTAATAATTATACATTTTTAATTAAGAGGTAATAAATTAAAACGTAATTCCTGCTTACAAATTTAGTTAAATGCAAATCAAAGGAATTTGAATTATTTGATGTTAGACTTTAGTACATGAGTAACCCATGCATTTCATTACAACTTTCACGTGTCCATATAATTAGTAATCATTGTGTCCCCTAATTGGAACAAATTTTTGGGAAGATTGAACTGAAATTCTAATTTAATTAATAAGCATACATTTTATAATTTTTGGCCATTAGGAGATTGACAATTTAAGATGTTTGTATTAGAGTAAATTATGCAAATAGGAGGCAGATTTGTTTTCCCCGTCCACGTGTAAAAATCATTCAGTTTAATACCTATCATTTCCTTGTTGTAATTGTAATTGATATAGAAATTGGCAGAAAACCAATAATTAATCTCCAGTCATACTATATCAATCGGGAATTATGAATCAATTTCTCAGAAGATTGCATGAAATACGAATTTAAATATGGCTGAAATTCCACTTCCCCAACGTGATTACCCGATTTCAACAGTATAAATAGAGCACTAAAACCACATTCTACTACATGTCCATTACCTCTCCCTCTTTAAAATATTCCTCTATATTATTTAGATTTTTTAAGGCTTTGAAATTGCAATCACATTTCTGCAATTTTATTCTCCAATTTCATCTTTAAAAGGTGAGATACTCAGTGCTATTAGTGGTTTTTCCACATCTTTTCAAATACGTTATTATGAATTTAATTACTTCAATTCAGGCTCCTTCGGGAGAAATCATGATACATTTTAAGGCACAATTTAGCCTTTACGTTATTTTCAAGGCACAATTTAGCCTTCACGTTATTTTGCAGCGCTTGCTAGAATTATCATTTGTCATGGTGTGATAATTCTCATATTATGTTGGTAAGATAATTTATTTGTAATTTCATGTTTGACTTGAATGTGGAGTAGCAAGTATCTCATTGAGTATAATTCGTTATACTCATCCCCTTATTTACAATTTTCAGGTAATAATTAGTATGCTGGACGGCGGTGGATGGATTTGCTATTGAACCAACGGATCCTCGTCATGAAGTATTTTAATTTTCAAAAACACTAGAACTAATAATAGGTTATTCATTTTTGACCCAATTGTGAGTGCATTATAAATTTTCAATTAGTTTTAACCGTTCTAATAATTTTTGGATGAATGATACGTTTTCAAACGTTCCGCATATTTAAATTTATCTTTTGATTAAATGTTATTCAATCTTTTACAGAATTTCTCGTTATATTAAAACTGTTTATTTCAAGGTATATTCATGTTTCGTAACGTTTCGGGTTATTAGAATTCGGGGCGTTACAAAAACTTCAATATATGCACCCAGATTGTCAAAGCAACAGTATCATTATTTTGATGAATATAAAGAAAAAGGTGCATATGATTTCTCTAACTTTCTCACAAGTTATGGTAAAGTACATAATCCATTTCCTGAAAATTCGAAATCAAAGTTGTAAAATCTACTACACTAGGGATTACAATATGGATGAATGCTTTAGGTATTCAAAATGGCAAAGCAATGAAACCAATGGGGAACTTTGCATAAAGCCTTTGAAAGCCAAAAACCACTTTATTTGGCTGTAAGAGGAAGGAGTTGAGGATCAAGGACAATGTACACAGAACCATCACATGCATTAACCAATGTTCCAAATCCTGGATCTCTGGTAAGAAGATAAATACCATAATTTGAAGCCCTTATGTTGGTGGGGGGATAATGAACTCGCAGAGAAGTAATGCCCGAGCATCTAAGAAATCTATGTTGAAGAACTTTTGGATCCAAGGTAACCCTAAACCACATCTCTTCCATTTATGTTTAATGATGATGACGAACATGGAATTATATTCCCCACTGTGACGCATTGGTAGTATGAGCAGTCATAACTTGCAATGGCCTCACCTGTACGCTAGAAGACAATGGTAGTTCTGTGAATATTCTATTTAGAAGTGGGTTCAACAAAATGTAGATTGACCATCCCTGGTTGTTTATGGTTGAGCCATTGTATGAGTTTAGAGGTGACAATTTGTCAAGGGGGACAAATCACTTTAACGATTTAATTGGATGAGGAACCAACAATGTTCCAATGATATATGGACTTCTTGATAATAGATAGCAAGTCTGCTTACAATGGAATCCTAAGAAGGCTAAGCTAAAGCAATTACAAATAGTAACATCCATTCACCATCTCTTCATGACATTTTGAACTCCAAAAGGAGCGATTAGCATGAAGGGATAATGCGCCTGAGATCGAGTGTTACCTCAACACGCAGAGAGAAGAAGCCCCAAGAACTCCAATAATTAATACCACATTGATGGTAGAAAATGGGAAACATGCTTGAAATCCTCGTTTAGGAAAGCGTATATCTAACATTGCGAATGATCAGTTGAAAAATTCTCGTCAGTAAGAATGATACTACAAATACTAGGAGAAGTTTGGATATCGAAACTGCTAAAATGAACCAAGATTACAGAAAGGGTCGCAATGACAAAATGTACGATTCAAACCTGAAATGGTTAGAAGGCGAATTTACCTTTGCCTATAACGAAGTTTCAATTGAAGGCGAATCCCTATCCGCCAAATGCAAAAATGTCGAAAAGATAAGCCTTGAGCCATCAAAATGGAAAAATTAAAAGCGAAGTTTTTTCATCAAAGAAGAAACAATGAAAAATTGAGTTTTACCCATCGACATCTAAATAGCTGTTGAAAGTGAGCCCATTTTTTTTTTTTTTGCCCCCCGAGGCACTTCTCCAATGGCAAAGGAAGGATTCTCTCAAGGCTAGCAGTTCAGAAGTCGTGGGTGCGATTCGTGGGGCTCTTGGAAGGCAAGACATATATTGAAAGACAGGATTTATCCTGGAAGGCAGGAATGTCTTGGAAGATAAGGTGCAACGTGGGTTGGCTCACTAGTCACTTTGACAGTTCAGTTGGAGAGACGCTCGGACCCTGGTCAGTAGGAGGCACATCCCGCGGTTTAATTGGTTTGTGTGAAGAGGGGCCGGATCACAGATCCAAGGAATAGTCGTTGAAGGCGGACACCTTGATAAAAAAAAAAAAAAAATTTGAGGAGACAAAATTTCAATAACTGATCAAGAGAATGGGGGGAGCCAAGGAATAATTTTTTACTAAGCTGATACATAAAAAAATAAAAAATCGTTAGAAAACAAAGAATTTTCATTTTAAAAAAAAAATGCATTTCAAATTTAGTTGGGGATCAGGGCAGGTCTTGGCTAGTCTTCCCACCCTATGTCCTGCAAGAGGAGTTGGAAGCAGAACCGACCCCCAAGACAGTGATTGAAGAACTACCAGAGAAACCTCCTGTAATCAAGGTTGAGCCACCTTCACAAAATGTTTAAATTTTGTGTAAAAGATCTATTTGTTTGTCCCCCCGAACCCAGCCTTGCTGTCTTTCACTGTGTTCGTCCTCCCATGAGTCGTTGAAGGCGGACACCTCGAAAAAAAAAAAAAAAAAGTGAGCCCATTTTCACCCAAGCAGAAGTCTAATGCCAAAATGGAAATCACGAAGAAAGTCTTTTAGTTAAATGCATGTGATAAGTACTATATAGTAATGTTCATTGGCAATGGTCAAGATATTGATCTTTATATTCTTTTATTGTAACAATTAGATAAAATTTCATTTTTCGCGAACTATATAATTATCAGATAAAGTTGATTAAATTCTTACACAAGGCACTTCAAATACCCATCAAAATAAGTAATACGACCTTGAATAAATAAACCAAAGACACCAACGATAAAATAAGTAGCAGTTTCATACAAAGAAAATTATATAACCATAAAGAGAAAGTGAGAAATAAAAACCATTTTCCAAGTTAACAAGAGGCTAGAGATTTTTTGTAGCCGAATCTTCCTGGTTAACTTGAATTTTACCCTTAGAAAGTGCGATCACTTTAGAAGGGGGAGAAAGAGGAGCAAGAGTAGAAGTTATAGGTGGCTCAACGAAAACAGTAACCTTACTTAGATTGATAGCTGGAGAATCTATGGGCTTAGGAGGTTCGGTATGAAGTGATGGAGTATCTAGGGCCTTAGAGGCCAAAGGAGAAGCCTCAGGAGATAAGGTGTCTTCGACATATTTTTCAGGAGATAAGGTATCTTATCTCTTTGTAATTGCTTTTCTCTTTCATAGCCTCCTATAGCTTCTTCTGAGGAGTACTACGTCTCTTCTCCAAAAATTAAACGTTTTATACAAACTATTAGCTCTCAAAACAATGACCTTATATTCTACCTGATGATCATGATGTAGTACATCTACTCGCATGAGATGAGAATCAATCATTTTTCCTTTTTGAATAAGGCTAATTTCTTCCACAAGATTTTACTAGGATTGATTGAAATACGTGTATACAAATCTCGCTTCCTAAGAGATAAGGCAGGAAAAATAGACAAAACCCCCGAATCTAATTCATTATTCATTCGAGGCTGAATAAATGCTTGGAATCTAGAACAAACTTCCTTGGAGAATAAGAAATTTTTAGATTTGGAATCTGTTTGGATCCACTAGGCATTTTCCTCTTCCATTCAATAGGATCTTTAATGCGAGTTGGCGAGGGAGGAAGCATGGTCTCCAAGTGTAAGGACCAGTGAGCTGAAGAAGCAGCAGCAGGGGCTGTCATCTTCCAGGCTCCTGTAAAGGTACTTATCACCTAAACGCACCTTCGACCACCAGTGAAGGCACAATCTTGGACCCTCGAGATCCCTCAAAAGGTAACTCCACAAGAAGGAGAGGCGTCGAAGTCTTCTGGTATGGAGTCCATCAACGATTGGCGATAAAATTGATCTACACTGAAAAAATGAATAAAAAATTACCCAAAAGTAAAATTAGAAATCAAGAGAAAAAATAGGCCTCTAGCACATAAACTCACCCGTAATAGTTGCTATCCCTACGTTATCAAAATTTGAAGTAGAAGGATGAACCAATCTATTCGCTTCATGAGCCTCAAAATTTATGATAAGAATAGGTTTCACTAAAGCATGAAGATCAATAAGAGCTCGACCACGAAAGGAACTTGTTGTTTACCTACATACATATATCACAATAAGAGAGCGTCAAACTTAAATCAAAGAATAAATGAAGAATCAATACTCACTACATTCGCCATAATATCGAGGCATAGCAACAAAAAGGTTGGGGTCATTGGGTTAAAGCCTACAATTATCTCAAACAGAGAAAAAGCTTTCTTTTCAGATGCGCACCTTATTAAGAGTGATTATAAATTTTGGGCACTATTTAAGAGATTGGGGGAAAGGTATAAACCCTTTTGCGGGTTCGCCTTGTTGCCCGATTTTACAGGATGATAAATATATTGAAGTACATTGGAAAAAAGCTCCATCTCTAAACCCACGGAACTCGACAAAAGGAACGACCCAACCATGTTAAAAGAAAATTGGGTAAAAGCAACATTAAAGAAGAAAGAACCTTATAAAAGAAGTGATGGAAGAGAACTCTAAGTCCCATATCCATCAAGTGTTTATGAATAGCTATACAATCTTGGCAAGGACGATTCGCAATTTGGAATTACGTAGGGCATAGTAATTCAATATCGTTAAGGATATTAGACCAACTCTAAATCTCATTTAAATCCTTCTAAGTGAGATTGGTAAACATCTCCAAGGCTTCAAAAACCTCTCACCGCTTTTACTAAGGCTATCAGGCTCACTCGAAGGTTCACTTGCTTCGTCCCTAAGTTGGGAACTACCCTTTTTACCGAAGAAGTTTAGGGTTAACGCAAGAACTGAAATGGGTATTAGCAGAACAAGGTAATACCTTACTATACAACACTTTTATAGAAGAAGAAGATGAAGAAGAAGATGCACCCGAAGGATCATCCCTATAGAGTTTTCAATCTCAAAATCATAAACATGTGCCTGCGTCCTTAACATGGTCTGCATACTGCAGTGCCTTCACGTGTCTGGGAAAACCTTAATATATGCCCGTGTCATGTACCTAAAGAAGATTTTTGGAAAGATAATGAAAAAGAGCAAGAGATGAAATCACTAGAGAACGAGTATGGAACACAACAAGCAAAAGCAACGAAGTTTAAGGAGAGTAGCCATAGGGTAAATATCGTATTTATAGATTCCGATGGGTGATGAAATGATGAGAATCATGGATGGCAAACTAATAAGGATCCATTGCATGTTTTGGAGTGATACAGATCAATTAGAAGAGAAGATTCTAAACCAATTATAAAATGGAATGAACATAAAGTATGTGTGAAAATGCACAGGATATACAATAATACATATAACTTTCAGTTCGGTTGTCGGATTTTCATCCATGAGTATAATTCGAAAACATCTTTCGATTTTGCACACATTTGTCGGATGATTTTTCCAAACTTTTGGGGTCAAATTCGATTGTTTAAGGGTCTATTTCTGTGTTATGTTTTGAATTAGTTTAAAGGTATTTTCGCTATTTTTAGTATTTTAGTTCAGAAATGCTAAAGGGACAGGGATTGGTGATAGGTCTGAGGTTGGCGGGTATGAAAGGCACATTCATTGTACAATAAAGACATTAATTTTTTGAGAATTTATCATGATGTGAAAATTTTCACTTTCTATCTTATTCTTGACTAAACAGAACTTATCAAATATTTTTCATATTTGTGGCATTCAAACTATTCGGACTTATCAAAGATTCATACTCTCTGTGGCGTTCAACAATTCAAGTAAGATTCGTAAGATTTGTGATCATGGAACCAAGATATTGTTTACGATTGTCTTAGTTCTATGATTCAATAATTTATCGGGTCGAGCTTTCAAACAATCTGGATGAGATTCTCAAGTTTTGTGATTAAGAGGTCAATATATTGTCGGTGATTTTTTGGTTCCTTGGTCCTTTATTTTTGGATCAAACTCAAAACTTTGATTTATTGGCTTTTTTGGGTTGTAATTCAATTTTGTGTTTTTGAGTTTCATTTTTACGAACGTACTCCCTAGGTGAGATACTTAACACGTTAGCTACAACACTACACCGGGAAATATGCACAACGCCTAGTTTCTTATCTCATGTCTGCTTTTCATGAAAAAATACCAATTGAAAAACAACAAGAGCGTGGGTCAACTATTAGTTTAGGCTCCAAAAATCAAGGTTATATCCCCCCTCTCTCTCTCTCTCTCTGTTTATTGAGCCTTTGTTTTATATTTTTTCCTGTTCTTCACGTTCTTTGTCTTTTTGAGTCTTTAAACTATAAAAGTTTCAAAAAAAAAATTCAGAAGTTGTTTGTGCGCTCATTTAGCATCCAAATCAAATTCTGTATGTTTTGCTGGTTTTGTAGTTGAATTTTCACACAAAAAATCCAAAAAAAATAATATGGAAATTACCAGCAACATTTAATTTCTTCTATTTTTGAGTTAAAAAAAGATATATACAATTTCATCCACTTTGAGTCTTGTCCAACTCAAAATTCAAGGATCACCTTCTTGAATTAAAAGTTTCCATTCAAAAGTGTCTAATTCTTTTCTTTCTTTCTTGAGTCTTCTAAAGTTATAAATCTCACTCACATCATAATTTGAATTCTTCGAGAATAAGACTGGGTTGAGTTCGGATTAGTTTTTTAAAGCGCTTGGGTGAAGTCATTGAGCGAAAAACTATGAAGAAAGTTCCAGAAGAAAAACATATTCAATTTCAATGTTAAGATTCGAGGACGAATCTTCTTGAAGAGAGAGAGAATGTTGATGATCATGAAGCGCAAACTAACACGGATCCATTGCATGTTTCATAGTGAAACAGATCAATTAGAAAAGAATATCATAAACCAATTAGAAAATATAAGGAATATGAATTTTTTGTGAAAACGCATAGGATATACAAAAATGCATATAACTTTTAGCTCGGTTGTCGGATTTTCGTCCATGAGTATAATCAGAAACATCTTTCAATTCCGCACAAGTTTGTCGATGAATTTGTCAAATTTTTGGGGTCAATTCGATTGTTTAGGGGTCTATTTTTATGTTTTTATGTTATGAATTTGTTTAAAGGTATTTTCATTATTTGTAGTATTTTAGTTTTATTCAAATTTATTTTTTGGTGTTCTAGTTTATTTGGATTTGTTTTTAGAATTAGAGTTTTATTTTGATTAGGAGTTTAATTTTATTCTTATGAGAGGCACATTCATTGCGCAACAAAGACATTACTTTTTTAAGAATTAGTTATAATGTGAAAATTTTCACTTTCTATCTTATTCTTAATTGAACAGAACTTATCAAATATTTTTAATATTTGTGGCATTCAAACTATCCGAACTTATCAAAGATTCATACTCTTTGTGGCGTTCAACAATTCAAGTAAGGTTCGTAAGTTTTGTGATCATGGGATCAAGATATTGTTTGCGATTGTCTTAGTTCTTTGATTCAATAATTTATCAAGTTGAGCTTTCAAACAATCCGGGTGAAATTCTCAAGTTTTATGATCAAGAGGTCAATGTATTGTTGGTGATTTGTTGATTGCTTGGTTCATTATTTTTCGATCAAACTCAAAACTTTAGTTTATTGGCAGGGTTGTGATTCAGTTTCGTGTGGGTTTTGTAACTTCAATTACTACATGGGTTCGCATCATGCAAGCCCTTAGTATCGATCTTGGCCATTCAAAAAGTAATTTGACAATCATAACAATTGAATACTAAGATGTGGCCAAAAAAATTTCAAAATAAATAGATGAGATCGCGCGTAACTTACAAATGCATTAAATGCGAACAGAACATTAACCTAGAAATGCACAAACAGGTCCATCAATGCACGAAAAAAATTGTAATCATGTCATGTCCTCTTAATATGGTACATGTTTCCACAACAAACAAAGAGGAATACGCTTAAGTAATTTTTTAACTGTAAGTTCGTAGCTAGAATATAAGTAATGAAGCTCCAACTTCAAGAACTAATGCATCAGCCAAAAAAATAATAATAAATTATAAATCTTAGATTTAATATGAATAGTTAAAAATTAACACTGGGGACTATTTGTTGAACAAGAAAATACGAAGGTATTAAAAAACGAGCTAATAACTTTCAATGTGAAGCTTGAAAACACTTGAGGCTAGTAAAAAACTTTAGCATAAAAGTTCACAGGATAGAAAGGTGAACCGTTTCGATAATATTCAACATTGGAAGTAATCGTTACTAAAGCACACAAGGTTAAGTGTTTAAAGCGTGACTTTGAAATCAATAAATGAAGGACATGAATAAAACGTGAATACACAATAGAATTAGTTAGAAACCTACCATTAAATGATAGTGCGCTTGTTATTTACGAAAAAGAAATAATTGTCCCCAAGACCCTCAAGGAAATTTATAAATAATCTTGCCTAGAATTAGAAATGCATATAAATTTAAATATCTCCTCCCCAAAAAGTCATTTCCCTTGCTACTTCCTGCGCATCAAGCACTATGAGTCTGGTTTATCTTTTAAATAATTTTTACCCAAAGTCATGAGCTCCGTCAATCATGACGAGTGTTTTTTACTCACAAATTTTATACTATTTTAACTTGATTATTGGCTAGATTTTATGAGTATTAGACGTTTCTATTAGTGTTGTTTTATAGGTTGTAAGGTGGAGTAAAATTATTGCAATGTGGAGAGAACAAGGCCATTGACATAAATTGAGGAAAAAAGATGAACAAAAGGGCAAAGAGTAAATTTCCTACATTAAAAGAAGAAAAAAAATAAGGAATTTAACTCCAGAGGTCGCAAAGGAGCCAAAAGAGGCCAAGAAGAAACAGAACAGGTGGCGTCAAGAAAAAAAAGATAAAAATGTGGCGCATGACACTATCTAAGAATTCGATGCGGCGCCACTCCTATGGCGTCAATGCACTGCCTAATGTTAACTAGGGCATGGAATTTTGGCCCTATTAAAACCCATTAAAACTTCAATATTAGTAAATTGTGAGGGCAATACAAATACAAGAATAGATGCTGTTACTCCCTGTATTAAGTTGGTCATCAAAAAGCAACACTTGGAAGCCCCACTAATGTCATAAGAAGAGCCAGCCCCAAAACATACAAAAAAGTGAAGTAATAAGGTTACGAAGGCTATAGTACCGAAGTCCTTATTCTGGCCGAGGTTCCACTCGACCGAGCATATGCTAAGGCCCTAAAAATGGTCTTTGCCGAAGTCCATATGTTCACCACCAGCCAAAATCCAAAAAGATGAGACTGAAGCCATAAGAGAAGAAAAGGATGCCATATCTGTCGATCTGGCGAATATCTTTATGAAAGATTGATTGGACGTCTACTTTATCTTATGTCAGGAATCTCATCCTAGAAATATAGGACAGTTGACTCTTTGCCAGTGTAATAAATGTATGCGTAAGAAAGATGTGATTTATAGAAGAAGGAGAGAGGGGCATGTGGTTTGGATCTAACGACCACCATGTTTTCCCCAAACTCTATAAATACGCTTATAGAAGAAAAAGAGAAGATGTGTGGAACAATAGATCAACACATATAGAGAAAAATGGGAGAAAACCCGAGAAAAGAACAAGGAACGGGTATACTAATTTTTGGTACATTTTGGAGGGAAAATAAATATAACTCCATACATTCCTTGCCATTTGATTGTGTCCCCTTTTTACTCTCTTTTATCATTTACTTGCAAAAGTTGTGATCGTATTTGAGCGAGAATATCATTGCCCGTTAGCAAGGCTTCCGGTCACTTTGTCGGTGCTTGAACAGTTTAGTCTCGTGTCGAAGGAGAATCTTCTGCATCTATTCTACCGTCCAATCAAATCAACGATCTAAACACAATGAAATTTGGTCGTGTGGGCCCGGCATCTGTTGGTGCCATTTTTGAGTGTCAACGGATTGGCGCCATCTGTGGAAAACACTTGGAATAGATAAACCACGAGTACCCCATGGGATAAAACCTTTAAATAAAAGGTAATGTTCTTGAGAAAACGATATGAGGCGTAGCCGAGGTGCTGAAAAGGCAACTCAAAAAAAACTCTGCTAAATCCTTGAGTAAAGGAAAGTAATCCCAGAAATAGAGCCAAAAAGTGGTTATCTGTCAGGAAAGTGTAACCATGAGTTCGACAAAAGATGAAATTGCACCTAGGCGAATTAGAGAACGCCTCAATGAGGAAGCGTCCTTGCAAAGAGCACCAATAACCCGAGAGCCATGGCCAGT